TTTTTTATTGTTTTGGTTTTCGTTTTTTTTTTTTTTTTTTTTCGAGACAGAGTTTCACTGTGTAGCTCTGGCTGTTCTGGAACTCACTATGTAGACCAGGCTGGCCTCAAAATCAAAGATCCACCTGCCTCTGCCTCCTGAGTGCTAAGATTAAAGGCAAACATCACAATGACCAGACCTTTATGTGTTAAGGAAGAAGCCTGGTTTTTTTAAGTTCTGGGGTTGCGGGCTTCATTTCAGGCTGTAGCAAATGGATATTCATAAAACTATTTAATATATGCAGTCCAAAAGAATTATATACATAATTACTAAAAATATAATATTAATATATAATGTATTAATATAATATGTTGTATATAATAATATATATTATTAGTTATTTCTTTGGGATAGTTTCCTAGCAGTGAGATTTTTTTGTTGCTGTTTTAGGGATAGGTCTCATGTAGCTGTGGATGGCCTAGAATTTGCTGTGTGGACCCAGCTGGCCTCAAATTCAGAGATCCACTTAATTCTGCCTCCACAGAGCTACAATTAAGGCCTACCCAACTGATACTTGTTGCCATTTGGTCTCCTAAAGTAGTTTTTACTGTCAGCAGTGTGTGAAGTCTTTCTTTAAAGGCAAAACTGCAAGGGAGAGAAATTTGGGGAAACCTTGAGAAAACAAGAAGACCCTGGTTATCATTTTGGCTAAGAGTGATAGAAAGTTTGCATGATGCTTGCCTTATTCCCAGCACTCTGGAGGCAGAGGCAGGGGCAATCTCTGAGTTCAAGACCCGGCTGGTCTACATAGTGAGTTCCAGAACAGAGGGAGCTACATAATGAGAACTGGTCTTAAAAAAAAAAAAAAAAAAAAAAAAAAGTCTGGTGTGGTGGCACACACTCAGGGAGGCAGAGTCAGGTGGATCACAGTGAACTTGTGGCCAGCCTATTCTACAAATGGGAGTCCAGGACAGCCAAGGCTACACAGAGAAGAAACCCTGTCTTGAAAAATCAAAAACAAACAAAAAGCCTGAGCAATAATTGAAGAGACACAGGTTGTATGAGCTCAGAAAATGCAAATATATACATTTCCACCTATGTTTTGCCACCCACAGCAGAAAAAGTAATTGTAAACAACAGTTTGTTGTCAAAACCCCAGGGCAGCCTCAGAACCTTTTACAGAGATAGAAACAGATTTTTCTTCTGAGGCAGTGCCCTATGTATTCCAAGCTGACATTGAACTTACTATGTAACCTTGAACTTGATATTTTGGCCTCTGTCTCCCCAGTGCTGGGAAAACAGTGCACCACCATGTTCAGTTATTGAGTGTAGGGGTTTCATGCTTGCTAGCTAAGCACCCTATCAACTGGATTTAATCCTCAAACACATAGAAACCCTTATTCATTTATTTTTTTAGTCACAGCTTTATTAAAAGTTGCCCACAATTTTGGGAAAAAAATAGATCACTATAGCAACATCGCACCACTCATCAATGTGCATGCTTTTACAGGTAGAAGATAAAGACACATTTGATTATACTTCAGATACTTCAAAACTCTCAACACAGTAAAAGAGACACTAAAAAGAATTTGTTAAAATTCAGTAGCTCAATCAACAAACCACAAATTAAGGGTCTTACACAAAAAGCAAAATATGAACTGCAAGTTTCCAGCCAGGTTCTCCCAAGAGTTTGATTGGTATACAAGATACATTTTGTATCCAGGCTCAGTGGCAAACAGGTATTTGGGTGAAGGAGGAGGATGGTTCTGAAGACTAGGGCCCCAGCCTGACTGCACAAGAGAGACACAGACACAAATCATGTTTACCGTTTGTTCTTTTTCTTTTCTTTTTTAAAATATCTATCTCCTATGTAATCAACACCTAGATAAAGATACGGAAGACTTCCTGGGCCTGTTCTCACTCCATATACTATTGGAAATGACCACTACTCTGTATTTGTCAATACAGTTTCATTTCTAACTGCAGAATCTCATGTTCCACTCTCATTTGGCCAAGTTTCAATTAGCAACCATTCTGCTCTGTACTTATATTATTCCTGCCTACCTCCTCATCTTTACTTTGGTCCGTTTAGCATTCGTATCTTGTTTAAAGGCATTTATTAGAACTAATTTGCACCTCTTTATTATAATTGAAGGTTAAGTGGATTTAGTTTTATTTTCTATCCCACTGATAACTAATTACACTGCCACTCCAGTCATTGCATGCTTGAATATCATCTTCCCCAGAGAGGAATAATAGATAAAAGTAATCAGCTTACCAACTTCAAATTCAAGCCATAATGTCCTTGGTTCATAAAAACAAGAAACTTCAGTTGAAAGAGCAAATAGCCTAATAATATACTTCTCACACTTCTAGATATGCATACAAAAACATGTCATTAAATGCAAATTTATCTACTGTGGAGATAATGAAAATACATTTACAATGGATATCCTACTGCTGTTATTAGTAAAAATATTAACAGTAAAAATTATGAAAAAATGGATACAGGGATTGTCTTTGACATGAACTCAGTGGCTGGCTCTTTGATCACCTCCCCTTGAGGGGGGAGCAGCCTTGCTAGGCCACAGAGGAAGACAATGCAGCCAGTCCTGATGAGACTTGATAGGCCAGGGTCAGAGGGAAGGGGACCTCCCCCTATTAGTAGGCTTGGAGGGCATGGGAGGAGATGAGGGAGGGTGGAATTGGGAGGAAATGAGGGGGCTACAGCTGAGATACAAAGTGAATAAACTGTAATTAACATAAAAAATAAAAAAATTAAAATGTATGAAAAAAGCTGGGTGCAGTGGTGCAAATCTGTAATCCTAGCACTCAGGGAGGCAGAGGCAAGTGGCTCTCTGTGAGCTGAAAGCCAGCCTGGTCTACAAAGCAAGCCCAGGACAGCCACGGCTGCACAGAAACCCTGCCTTGAAAAAAAAAAAAAGAGAAAAAGAAAAAAAATATTTAATGGAGAAAGCTTAAAAAGTCTCAATGCACTGGAATCCCTGCACTTTTGGCAGATTTCTGTGCGTTCCAGGCCAGCCTGACAGAAAGAGCACGTTATACAGAGAAATCCTGTTTTGATAGAGTACAACCCATCCCAAAAGTTTCAATGCACAAAATTTTAAAAATACAAAAATCAGAGTAAGTTTTTTTTTTTTCCAGTTTCCAAAACTTCAGATTCAGAGTGTGTAATAAAAACTCAGTAAATAAAAGTTCAAACAAAAAACATCGAATAGAACCACTGTTTCTCACAGGTCCTTCCAAATGAACACAGCGCAGTTGTACAAGTTCTGGATCTCAAGGACATTAACCTCTTTTAAAACAACACCCAAAACTACTATACACTGATTTTATTTCTTTAATATCCTAAAGGGAAGAAAACGGAAAATTTAAAGTCCCATGCTTATTGGGAGTTACTTAAAAGAACTATACCTATGAAATCATCTTGAAATCGTTTAGTCCAGAACACAATTTTAAGCCCCCAATCCTAAGAAATAAATACTTACGGAGTCTTATTTTTGAGCATACTTTCTGGCCTAAAATATGGATTCAACAATTCTAGGTGTTCTCTAAATTTTCCTAGTTCCTCATTTCTAGGCAGCTGTCTCCATTGAACACTTAAATATCTACCTACATAAAAAGAACCAGCTACTACTAGTGGTTCAAGCCTGTAATACCAGCTACTCAAAAGGCTGAGTGAGACAAGATTGTTGCCAAGTTCAGTGTCAGCCTGAGCAACTTTATCTGAAAATAAAGTGCTGGGGATATAGCTCGGTGGCAGAGTTCTTGCAGGATGCTTTCCTTCATTTCCCAGAACTTCAGTAAATTAAAAAAATAGAATTGCTTCCGAAAGATAATCAGATCACATTTTTAAAAATTAGCCAAACATCCTGGAGCAAACATCCCAAAAAATTCAACATTGAAATAACCAATATCTAAAGCAAACCAGAGTAAAATATCACAAACTTTCTCAGAATCTTTTCAGACTTTAGACACATAGAGACATATGACTTTTACTTTACACAGAACGAGCTTGTTTGGCGAAACGACTTTTTTCGCTCTCCATAAAAGGTGATGAATAAATAGCCTCACTAACTGAAACAATAATTCTAATATCCAGAGCAACAGTTCTAATATTCTTTTTCTGTAGGTTGTAAAGGCAACCTCCAAAACGGCTCCTTTAAGCAATGTGTTCTGGGGATGCTAACACTGCAACAGTAGATAAACCAAAGGAAAGGAAAAACTTTTCCCCAAACTGAACAGTAAACCAAAATTCTAATGTTTGCCTAAGATGTGAAAGATCACATCTCCACTTTGCTAACGAGCAAAAAAGAAAAAGAAAAGAAAAAAAAAAAAAGAAAGCATAGTAAGCTTGAAACTCCTCCTGGCACTCAGGGGGCAACAGACACTACTGAAGCAATAGCTCCACCTACTGATCCATGATACTTCCTTAAACATTTTGGCACCCCAAAGTCTACACGGCTCGAGTTCACTTCCCCCTCCCTCCTCCACTCGCTCTGACCCAACCCAAATCTCGTTGAGTCACTAGCTCCTAACACTCATCCCCGTGCTCTTTATTCCAATTCCCTTTCCCTCCCGAAGGTTCTGCACAGCCCACAAGTATGAAGGAAACCGCAACGTGTCAAAAAGACCGCGGCCACAGCGTGGATCCCGGATACGGAGAAGCACCTGAGGCGGCTCAGTCGTGCGCTCCCGGGAACAGGCCCCGGGGGCCTCCCAAACACACACCGCTGTCCCGCCCGGTGCACGCCCGTCCTCCCGGCGGGAATCGCGGACTCGCGCCCTCGCCACCCCTGGCCCTGCAGCCCGCCAACAGCCGGCCTAGCCTCCGCCCCCTCCGGGAACCGAGCGAACGCGCAGCCCGGCGTTGTCCCTCCGCCCGGTCTTCGCGCGAGTCTCCTCCTCCTCCTCGCGGCGCTCTCCCTGCCCACCGACCCACGACCCTCTCCTCCGTCCCCGCCGTGTGTGGGGGGGCCCCGCCGGCCGCCCTTCCTCACCCTTTCATCTTCCCCGCCTGCTGAGGCCGTCGTTACAGCCGCCACCAACGCCGTCGTCCTCGCCGCCCCGGAGCTCTCCGCGCCCTGACCTCAGGCCACTCGAGCCCACACGCCGGCCGCTCGGCTGAACGAAGGGTGCTGAGGAGGCCGCGAGAGCCCAAGCCAGGCCCTGAGGCTCCGGGAGACGCGGGGAAAGCCGCCGCCGCGCTGCTGCCGCCGCTCCGCCACACGTGCACACGGGACACTCGGCTCCCGCCCGCAGCTGCCGCCAGCCAGCCCCGCCGCCGCGCCGTGACCTTTCACCCCGCCCCCTCAGCGCGCCGGCGCGGCCGCCGCGTCGCGCGCAGCCGCAGTGCTCGGGGCCGCGCGCCCTGCCCCGCCCCCTCCCCGACTTCCCTCTCTCTCCAGGGCTGGGCCTACGGTCGGCTAGCTCCTCCCACCCTTTGCGACACTCCAGCGGAGCTTGCTCGGTAGGCTCAGGCGGTAAAATCCGGATCTTCCCACCCTTCCCCTCGCTCCTCGTGAACCAGCGAGGCCGGCCTCTCCCGCCCTCCCCTCCTCTCTCTCCCTCGGCCTCCGGTGACCTTCAAACGCTCCCGCCGCCCAGCAGGGTTTTATAAGACGGACCCTTCCCAGTGTAAGGAAGCCTGCGGAAGCTTGCAGTAAACGTGTTTTAAATTCAAAAGGCAACGATGGGTCCGGATAACTTGGCTGTCTTCCACCAGGCAAGCCTCAGTGTCCCTTTTTTTTTTTTTGACATCACGTGGTACCCTTAAGCCTTCCAGCCCTAGAGGCGGGACCCCACCGCCATTTCCGGTCCCTAGAGCGTGACTCCACGTCACTTCCTTAGCGATGCACTTTAACCCTTGCCACCCTCGTTTTCTCTACTGTAGCCTATCACCCAGTCACTGTGAAAAAGAAAATAACGCTTTCGCTAACCGCGGAACCGTTCACGCCCGAGCGGCCCGCAGAGACTCAAGCCTGCACGGTGCAGCGTGCCCGGGGAGGGTAAGCGGGGTGGAGCTGGAGGTCACATGACTAGCCAGGACTGGCCCGCCCCTTGCAGCTGAAGACTTCCCCTCCCTCAGTGACAGAGCCTCTGGGTCAGGTCTAGGTACTGATTCTGCACTTCGCGCCCCGGCAGGTGAGGTGCGACAGGTAACTGGCGGCTGGTGGGGACGGTTGACGGGGTAAGAGGAGATAGGGATTGGGGAGCGTGAACCGCGCGGCCTGCGGTGCTTGGGGCTCCCTTCCCGTTGCCATCCTGCACTGGCGAGGAGCTCATTTCTTCAGCTCTTCTGGACCCCCTTAAGTCCATGGACACGGGATTGTGATGCCCACCTTCCACTGGGTTGAGAGCGAGTGCGGCCATTATGGTTCCCTGTTTGGAGCCATTGGGGCTTCAGGTGTTAGGATTGCTTTAGCCATTCCTCGGGGTCTGCAACAACCACCGGGTCCCATTCCCCAAAGCTCCTTTCCTTGGCAAAGGCCTTCGCCCGGGTGAGCAGGAAGATAGGAAAACCCCTGGAGGCAGAGGCGTCTCCGGTGAGACAGGCTTGGGAGGGAATGCCACTGATACGGCCCTCACTGCAGAGTCACCGAGGAGCTTCCCTGCAAATGTGCGTTCTCAGTGATTCTGAGGGATTTGTCGGACATCCTTGCAAGAGGCTCAGTGCGTGTCCGGGTGAGACTGGAAGGATATGAGCGGGACTTATACATTTTTTCCTTCTCCGAGAGAAGACAGTTGTACTATCTTCAGAACAGGGTGTTGGTAATGCGACAGTCTCAGTTGAATGAGAAGGCGATGGAAGATGGTGTTGCCTTATTGGGCTGGAGACCTAGGCTAGATTACGGGAAAGTAAAGAGCTTTTCACGAAAGGGAAGTGATTCTTAGGAAACTGATCAAGCTGAAAATACAGTTAATTCAAATTCATATAATATAAAGGCAGGAAGATTAAATCTAGATATTACTGACTTTGTATTTTTCTGCCTACGGCATCATTCCTTTTTTTGACATTTTTTTTTTCTTTAAATCCTACCTAATTGCCCTTCCAGTCAGTCCCTTAGCAGTTTAAATTTGTGAAGTAACACCTGTGTTCTTAATTAGCTTTTACATTTTGTAAAAAAAAATAAAAAATTCAAGTGACCTCTTCTGACTCGAGTGTATAATATTTTGTGAAAATACAGAAATTGTTTTGCCTAGGGCTGCCCAGCCCATTGTACTCCATTTTATATGTAGCCAGTGTTTTCACGTCAAACAATGCGCTTTAGGAAAGGAATGTTTTTCAGTTTAGGGCTAAACTCTCTTATTTGTGCTGCAAACTTAGAAGGTTCCTTGTTTTGACTTGGAAGGCCTTACGAAATTACAAATTTGACTTTTTATAACTTAAGTTGTACATTTTCTTTTATGAAATCAGATTTTTAGTTAAATCTTAGTTCTAAGCAATGTAATTGAAGAATTTATATTTAAAAATCTGAGGGCTGGAAATACGGTTCTTGCCTCCATGCATGCTTGAAACTAGAAAGCAAAAATTATGGGAAAAAATGAATGATTACCTTACAGTGATTGGTCATACTGACTTTTTTCCCCTCCCACATTTTCTGATCAGCTAAAACCTTAAAATGATAGCAATTTAACAAAATAGAAAGACTGGCCTATTTGATGCTTACTAAATATATTACTGTGATGATCTTGCATTGCCCAAATTTGTGCTTGTGATCCAGACTAGACAATAGGTATTAATACGTTTATATAACAAGCTTAAATATAAATTCTTAAATAGTTCATCCCTTTTTGTTGCTAATCATTCTGTGGTATGGATGCCACCACAGCTGGCTGAACCATTCACTTGTTGTCATTTTTATTTGGATGTATGTTCATCGAAGGAGAGGCCATTGGTGTCTTTCTTTTTTGCTCCCCTTCCCCCCCCCCTTTTTTTTTTTTTGAGGTAAGTGCTCTTACTGAACCCGGAGCTCACTGATTCAGGGAGCCTAGCTGGCCAGAAAGTCCCAGGAATTCTTAAGTCTCCCTTTGACCTGAGTACTGAGGTTAAAAGAACACCACCATGCTTGACTTTTACACGGAACCTGGGTAGCCGAACTCAGATTCTTATACCTGCAAAACAAGCAGTTTAGTGACTGAGCCATCACCTCTGCCTGAAATATAATTTTATTCATTATTTTTCTTCAAAATGGGTCCCCTGATAAAAAATTGGTGCTGCTTTTGTGTCTATGTGATATTCCACCAAATAAATCGAATTCCTAAGTGCTTTGGAAGTCCAAACCAGTTCTGTGCGTTTGCACCAAAATGGGCTAGAGAAAACCAGTTTGAAAACACGGAGTACTAGTGGAGAAGTTCATAAGAAAGAGGCTGGATGAGTCTGCAGTTTTACTTTACAGTTAATTACTCCAATTTTAGGGAACTCGTGAAAGCAGTAATTTAGCCTGCTGATGGAATCTGGGAGATTACCAGTAGGAACTGGTGAGCAACTAGCTATGGACATTAAATGTGAAAAGTGTTTGACATTCTGTGCACATTGATGATTTTAGCATTGGAAAGCATCTCTGACACTGTATCAGTTTATGAAATTTCTGAGTCTAGTGGCACAGTCCTTTAATCCCAGCACTGGGATGCAGAGCATATCTCTGTGAGTTGAAGGCCTGCCTAGTCTACAAAGTGAATTCTAGGCCAGCCAGGGCTACACAGTGAGACCCTGTGGAGAAAGGGAGAGAGAGAGAAATTTATTGGGTAGTAAGTCCACCATTACGAAATTAAGCCCAACAACCTTTATTTTCTTACTCTGAAGTCTTAGTGAAAATGTTTCCTTCCCCTTTGGGCCAAGGTAGCCAGTTAATCCTTTAGGCTACTATTCAGTGTTTTCTATTCCTTTATTTTTACTTATAGACTATTTCTGTCTGCTGCTATACGCTCACATACATTCTAGCTTTATATTACCTATCTATCATGTATGCAGTGTTCTGCCTGCATGCCGGAAGAGGGCACCAGATCTCATTATAGATGGTTGTGAGCCAGCATGTGGTTGTTGGGATTTGAACTCGAGACCTTTGGAAGAGCACTCTGAGCCATCTCTCCAGCTCCTACTTTGAAATAGATCACCTAAGGTCGTTATACTAAAGTATTAGTAACTCACTAACCTCCCTTTAGTTAAAGGACAGTCTCTATTCTGTCTTCTGAACAAGGGTGCTGAAGTGAATGAGACCCTGTTTGTGCAAACAAAATGCCGATCTGGTTGTTCATTGAATGAGTGTTGAACAATTAACAGGCAAATTAAACCACTTGAATTCCAACAGATTGTAATTCCTTCTAAGGTTGTGGTTCCTCCTAAGTTTGTGTACTAAGCATTAAACGTTTAATACAAGTTTCCAAATACTGAATAGAATAAGCATATAACTTGTATGACTTCCACAGTAATAATAATGTTTACTGATAAGGCCTATGATTATCATCCAGGTAGAAGGCAGGGATAGTTTTACTAAATGGAAGAAAAAAATGGTTGTACGTAAACTACAAGTGATTTAGCACCAAAGTTAGAGGCTCTTCATTTAGCTTCTCTGTCTTGCTCGTATCCCTTTTTAAACATAGCTAATGATGGAAGTTTCAGGGTTCCATACCGAGAAAATTTCTTCCCAAGGGTATTATGAGTTGAATGAGATAACCTTAGATAATCTTTAGAAAGTAGCTTTAAAGCTAGATGGTGCTACAGGAGTGTGTCAGATGGATCTCTGTGAGTGTGAGGCCAGCCTGGTCTACAAAGCAAGTCCAGAACATCCAAGGCTACACAGAGAAACCCTGTCTCCAAAAAGCAAAAACAAAATACTAGATGAGATGTGAGTGTAAAGCAGTCTATTCAAACTTTACCTGAATAGATTTCCCAATCCAGAGATCTGGGATTAGATTTTAGCCTTCGCTATTATTAGGTGTCTGACCTTGGGCACTCAAAATGAAGTTTCCTTGTGTTTAAATCTAGCCTGTAGGTATTATTGAAGTAGATAATGAGTACACAGTGCTTAGTACATGCTTTATATGCTTTTTTTTTTTTTTTTAATGGAAGCTAAGGCTAGCCTTGAACATGGTTATCCAAGTACTGGTATTACAGGCATATGCCACCCCACCAGCAGACATTCTTACTCATTGTATTAACATAGGCTTCAGTCCTACATACTGAGCTTGTAGGGGAGGCTTACGATGTCCTAAAAGAGTGATTAGAATTTGAAATTAGTCTATCATGAAAAAAAAAAAAAAAAGCCAAAAACAACAACCACAACAAAAAAACTCTTCTAGCTGTATTTTTTTTGAGATTGGCCCTGCTGTAACTCAAACTCCCAGACTAAAGCTAGTCAGTCTACCTTAGTCTCCCAAGTAGCTGGACTGCAGGCTCAAATGTCACCATATCTGGCTCCAACAGACTCCAAGCTTGTTTATTAGTAGAAGCTGAAAATACCAACATAATTCCCTTGTGGTTTTACCTATAGTTTAGTGTTTTGTTTTTTTTTTTTAATGTTAAGAACTTTCCAATGCTTATGATCATTAATGTGTGGAATTGTATTTTAGGAAACACATTTTAAAGTTTTATCAATACAAGGAACAGTATGAATATGAACTAGAATAAGAATTTTTTCCTTCTTTAATGAATAATAAAATAATTGAAATATACCTTTTTCAAGTTTATATTTTTCTTTAATTATGACAAAATACTCATTTACATAAAGGAAAGTAATTTACTAAGATAAATATTCAATTTACTAATTGAATATTTTTTAATAATGTTTTTATTTTATGTACATTGGTGTTTGTGGGTGCTGGGAATTGAACCTGTGGCCTCTGGAAGAACAGTCAGTTCTCTTAACTACTGAGCCATCTTTCCAGCCCCAACTGAATATTTGTATTAATGTAAGTTCACTATAGAGTAACTTGGATATAGTAAGTGCATTTTACTTCATTTTTATGTGTGTTGATAAACAGTAGGAGTGCTTTTTATTTAATGTCTAAATAGCTTAAGTTGCACTCTTCCTTTTTCTTATTAAAAAGGGAAAGAAAGTCTTTGTATAGCAGCATTATATATAATATGTAGTATATTGTGAATAAATATATGTACATATAAAACACAGTTTGTGTATATTCAGGGACAGCTGGAGTG